ACCCCAGCTGCTCTATTGCAGGCATCCCCGATTCAGCTGCTGCTGAAACTGACCAGCAGCGGCTGAATCAGGGACCCCCGGGGCACAGCCGGACTATCAGAAGGGGAGGTTATGGGGGGTCTGGGGTGGCATGCCCCCCATCCCACACCCCTCATAGCCCCCCTTTCCGATAGTCCGGCATATCTGATAATCTGGCACCCCCTGGGTCCTAAAGGTGCCGGATTATCAGAAGTTTACTGTAGTCACTTTTACATCCATTAGTGAGCGCCTGGACAAGCTGAAATGTTCCCCAACAGGTTTCTGTGTGTTACCATTTTGAATATCTCATTTGTGTCCATTAATCCTTTGTCACAGAGACAGTTCAGTTTGGCCAATATACATAGCAGAGGAGCTTTGCTAGCGCCTGATGGCATAAATCACATTGGTGGATGTGAAGTTATATGAGCCTCTGATGTGACGGCTTATGTGGTTAGGTCCTGTGATGATGTCAGTTGTATAGATGGGTAGACAGAGTTGGCACTGGGGTTGATTGCAGGGGTGGGTTCCTGGATGAGTATGATGGAAGTTTGCTGCATGGTTCCTGGAAATAATTTGTTTGAGGTTAAGGGGTTGTCAATAGGCTTGTGAGAGTGAGGGGTCATTTTCCAGGATAGGTTGTAGATTGTTAATAATGCACTGGAGGGGTTTAAGTTGGGGGCTGTAGGTGATGACAAGTGGAGTTTTGTTGTCTTCTTTGTTGGGCCTGTCTTAAAGAAGCTGATATCTGGGTACTTGCCTGGCTCTGCCAATCTGTTTTTTCACTTCTCTGGATGCGTATTTAAGTTTTAAGAATGCTTGTTATAGATCCTGTAGGTGTTTCTCTCTGTCTGTGGGAGTGGAGCAAATCCAGTTGTACCTTAGGGGTTGGCTGTAAACAATTGATTGGGAAATGTATCTTGGATGAAACCTAGAGGTATGTAGGTAAGTGTAATGGTCAGTAGGTTTCCAGTGAAAGGTGTTAGAAATGTGGCCATCGTGTAATTGTGCTGTAGTGTCAAGGAAGTGGATTTCATGTGTGGACTGGTCTAGCTTATCAGTTAAATGGTTAGTCAGTTACAATCTGACATCCCTAATTCCTATGATTACTTTCAGGAAACAATGGGAAAAATAAGCACGTACCTAAAATCCAGAAATTGTATATTAAGAAAATACTCATCATACATTCATGTCTGGATATTTAAAATTGTCATTTTATTTCATTTTATGCAAAACACAATATATGGCTTCACTAAAAATATACTGCACCCTTTTAAATGTGCATATTTACTCAAAAGTTTAAATTGAATTCTCTCCTCGACTCTACAGGGAATGTTCTGATCACTTAATTAGTCCATCAGAACATGATGAATAAAAAGACACAGTACAAGATGTTCCATTGTGTTGAGCACTGAGCATCTGGACGTGATTCAGAGTAACTTTAACCAACTCCTTAGCCAGATGGTAAAATACAGTAGCCAAACAAATAATAGGAACAACATCTGGTTAACTAACTTGGGTACAGACTATATCGTGGATTATACATGCTAAATGTACTTACTGTATGAGGTTTTTTGATCTGAGGAAGTGGGTCTGGCCCACGAAAGCTCATCATCTAATAAACCATCTTGTTAGTCTTTAAAGTGCTACATAGACCTGTATTTTGTTTCAGCTACACCAGACTAACACGGCTACATTTCTACCACTATTCTGTATGAGGTTAGTGATTTTTAATCACTATTTTTGCTGATAAAGTACATGAGCACAAGAACTGAAGAACCTGCAATATCTAAGTAGTAGAAGAAACAAGGAAACTGCAGGATCTACATACACAAATAGCTGAATTTTTATGAGCTAATCATACTATACTGAAGTTAGGCTGTTTAGTCTTCCATCCCCACGAGTTCAATAATCTCATATTAACTTATCAGCTACTTTCCTCAGCTTCCTTTTTGCATAAGCAAGGCAAGATGCCTCATTTCCAATTAAAAACTAATGCCACAACTAAGTAGTAAGGCATTCCTCCTTACCATGGGATGATTTAATCTACAGTTGACCAGTTCAATTTTCAAACACAACATTCCCTTCATCCAAATAATTTTCAGGAGGTTTGGTCTTAAATCAAAATTCACTTCATCTAAGTTACTGACATATCTGATGCATGCCTCATTGCAACACTGGTCATTCATTGGATGCAATTTCTGGGTTTTATCATCTTCTAGTTGAATACAAATGCTTATGAAACATAATAACCTATTTATAGTATAGTACAAGCTAAGTACTACACAAGCAACAGCACAATGAGATACTCCACATTTCCCAGATAAATCCTCTAGCATGGTGTGAGAGCAAAAATAAGTTCAGAGTGTAAACTACTGCTGGTGTTAGAGAGGCAGCAACAGTTCATGCGGAACTGGTAAAGGGTTTTGAAAGACAGGAACATTTACACCTTTGATCTAACCTCGGAAAAATCATAGCTTTAATCTGACATTAAACTGATGGTGTCCCAAAGTTTTATTAGTAACAGAAAGTTACTTAACAGATTCTAGTACACAAATTATAATTTGTATTATATTAAAATGCTGTTATAGTGCAATTTTTCCCACTTTGCTACTTAAAATACAACCACAAGTACTACTTTCTTTACAAAAATTCTTTCTTCCTATATATGTGATGCCTTTCAACTGCTATATAATACACATGACAAGGCTGATTTCCCCTCCCCCTTGCCCTCAACAAGCACATACTATGAAGTAGTCACCACAAACCTGTTTCCATAATCTATTTTGGCAGTCACTTTTTTCTTCAATTCCTTGAGCTCATCTTGAGGTAGAGTTCCAGAAAGTATCTGTGATCTCCATTCAATAAGATCATATATCATGTGCCGTACACTGTGGAACATGTCTCTGTTATCTTGCTGTTTGGGAAAAAATGGTTGAACAAGACTGTAAATGTTATTTTGAAAGCATACATAAAAAAAGCACATTTTAGAGGTTTTTTATGACAAAAGAAAAAAATGGGCCGTGAGATTCAAAACCAGATATTAAAGCAAGGCACCAAAATCCAAGCCAACAATGCTGAGCATGCAGCTGTCTCAACAGGAATTGTTGGGTTCCAAGCACTCTGGGACCAGTATATTTACTCAATATAGTGAATGCTTCAGGATTAAAACATCTTATTTGTTTTTATGGTGTCTTTCCACAGACCAGAAATCACACAGAATTCAAAAAGACAGACAGACAGTATAGACATTAGAGGAATAATTTGGGAAAGGACACCTTGGTATTAAAGAACATTATAACACAGGTTGGAACTCTTTGGTCCAGCACTAAGGATGTAAAGGACTAGTCAACTAGTTGATTATCCAATAAGCAAATGCTTATCAACAGGATAGTCAACAAATCACTTCCCCCCTTCCCTTGCTGGCTCTATCAGATAGAGGGGGTACTTAAAAATGGCAGCACCCCATGAAGCCTAGGGTCAGCTGCTCCATGCAGCGCTGCCGCTTTGAATGCCATGGGGAGCCCGGTGTCAGACTCCTCGCGGCATTTCAAAGTGGCAGCACAGTATGGAGCCAGGGATCAGCTGGGGACTTCCCAGCTAACCCCAGGTTCCATGTGACGCTACCGCTTTGAAATGCCAGGTAAAGCCCAGAATCAGGCAGAGCCGCTGGCAGCTGACTCTGAGCTCCACGCTGCATGCAAGCTTTGAAATGTACAAGGATTCCCAGCGGTAACATTTCAAAGCAGAAGCACTCACATGGAGCCTGAGGCCAGCAGGGGATTGTTTGGGCTCTTGTACATTTCAAAAGCGGAACGCAGAAGTGCTTACTGACTAGTCGAGTAGTCAATGGAAATTCCATCGACTACTCAACTAGCAAATTAATCACTACTTAACATGCCTATCCGTAGCCTAGGGATCTGACCAGTCCTAAACGAGGGAATTTGCTGGACCATAGGAGGTCCTCTGCTCACCAGGCCACCTTCCTTCTCCAGCTGCAACAAAAGCTGTCCCCGCCTCCTGCCAGGCTGCTGCAGCCCCAGCATCCCGGACTATCCCAGTACCAGCCCCATTATCAAGGCTGCCGCTTCCCTGCCCCCATCTCCGCTACTGGAGCTGCTGAGACTGCGACGTCCCTGGCCCTGTTACTTGGGCTGCCATAGCCCCTGCTGCGCTACCAGGGGTCTGGCCCCAGTCCTAGCTTCAGCTCTGCTAGGCTCTGAACTTCCAGTCCTCTTGTCAGCCAGGGCTCCCTGGTCCAGGAACACCTGTGGTCTCCCAGACCACGGATGTTGCCAGATGAGGGAGTCCCAATTTTGTAAGGTCCAACCTGTAGGCTATGCCTAGACTGCCCCCTCTTGCGCAAAAATGGTGGCTCATTAAGTATGAAAATGAGGCGCAGAGATATTCACCGCTTCACCTCAATTGCATATTCTCTTGCACAAGAGGAGGCAGTCTAGACTTAGTACTGTATAATTCTCTAGGCTGAGAGGGATGGATTTGTTCTGCTATAGAAGAAAAGCTATAATAATATAGAATACCAGTATACAGTGCTCTAGGATCACAAGAGATCACTTCTTGAATCCGTCTACTTGAAAACTGAGTATAAGCTATCCAGTACCTCAGATCAGTGTAAATTTTTTGGGGAAGGGAAAAGGTAGAAAGCAAGGGACAGGGAAATGGAACTCCACATTTGAGAGAGAATTAACACTTTCTCTAATCTTTCTCTCTCTCGGCTCTCTCGACTCAAGTAAGATTTCCCCTTGGACACCTACAACTGAGGAGTGCAAAGATGAGAAATTAGGCCAATTCTATCAAGGAACACTCTCTGGCAGTGGCTGCACATGAAGTTTCTATTTCCATCGGCGCAGAGCTGGCATTTGGCAGAAAACAAGTATCAACCTACCCAGTCTTAGAAAAGAGAGCATGATATATTTAAAGAGAGGAGAAGTAGTCAGCACTAGAGGTGCCACCTGCCCAGGTTCTGAATTTAAGAGGCATGCAGTATGTTTAGTAGTTCAGATACTCGTTCTACAGACTGGTGGTTCACAAGAAAGAGATGCTATACATTAAATATAAGAATTAGTTCTTCATATGTTAGGAGCCCTTCTTCAAAAGATTCACTGGCGTGAGAGAAGTATAAATGAGTAGGAAGGAGTTTCTGGTCTACTTCCTCCTCCTACGCCCCCACCTTGGCAACCACCTCATATGCCATGTTTTCTGCAGCTCCATGTGTGTGCCAAAGTTGAAAAAGAATTCCCAATTTCCCTCTCCAGAGTGCTCCCAAGCAATGGAAACAGGGTTGAGGGAAACTCTAATCCTCACTTAATTTAGGTAGGAAATAGGGAAGCCACTGGGATCAGAGTATGGAATGAGCAGTTTTAGGGGTTCAAGGAGAGTCTGGAAAGTTACTGGGTATGAAGGAGACAGCCTGTAGGAGGTCCTAGGGTCATGTCACACTCTGTTCCCGCTAATTGTTCTACCCAATTCTGCCCCTTTCACATTACATTCCTTTCATGTCCTGGCCCACACATCTTTCTCTCACATCAGAAAACATTTAGTATTGCATCAAATTTCCACTTGCATCTAAGATTTTTGCTCTCTTTTGCCCCAACTGCATCATATTACATCCTCTCATTCACTTCCAACATAATACTTTTTGTATCTCCTTCCCTCTCTTTTGTGGGCCTCATCCAAAACAGAACACATCCACTAAATGCAGTGAAGTCAATCAGAACACATCCACTAAATGCAGTGGATTTTGGATCACCGTGGAAGTCAATCAGAACACTTCCACTAAATGCAGTGGATTTTGGATCAGATTCTATAATAGTCAATGTTTCCAGCTTCTTTAAAATGTCCTTTTATGTAAGATATGCCCATTACCGCACTCAAGTGGTCATTTTTCCCTATCCTTCATTTTTCCCATGTTCTCATCTCTCTGTGTTCTCAAAATCTTATTTTTGTTGAATACTCACTTTACTTTTGCCACAGAAACAGAAGTCACATAATATACATTTCATACATCTGTTCATGACACCCAGAAATTTTGCATCAAATTGTAAAGCACATATACTTTCAAATGGAAATTTCCCATTTTCTATAAAGAAGATGGGTTTGCTAATCTTACATTTGAAGTGACTTTAAACTAAAAGCATTGAGATGCTGTATCTCCACTAATGTGGCATTAGACTACAATAATATTGTTTACATTTCAGCCATATTTTTTTTTACCTGAATCAGACTATATGAAACTGCCTAGATCATCATAAAATATCCACAGCTAACTCCAAGCTTGTAATTTTTCAGTTAATTTGATGGACAATTAATGTTTACTGCTGAACATTGGTAAGATGCTACAGGCTGAACTTCTCTCAACTGGGACTCTCTGGTCCGGAAACACACACAGTCCAGGCTCAGGACCAGAGAGCCTCTGTGAAGGGCCAGGAGCCCGGCATGCTCCAGCTGGGCAGCCCAGCAAGCCTGCTGGGGCCAGCAGGGCAGCCGGAATAGCAGCAGACTTCAGATGGCAGCCAGGCCAGATCTGGGGGAGCTGTGGGAGGGGGGGCCAGAAATGACCTCCCTTGCTCCAGAAAAATCCCTCATCTGGGATTGTCAGATCCCGAGGATGCCAGACCAGGGAGGCCTAATATGTATTATGTAATAAGAAACAAGCAGGCACAAAACACAGCTGTGGAATTTAAAAAAATGTTGCCCATGTCAGTCAGAGAGAGAGATTAATATATTGGTTTATTAATGAGCATTAACTTTTCACTTAGAATTTAAGCATATGAATGGAACCCAGACTGAAAATTTTAAATCTGTGCTAATCAAACAAAGTAATTTAGTTTTGGCCATTGGTATTTTATATGCCAAAATGTTTCACACTGATGTATTTTAAGGATGCCTTAAGCAAAACCTTAACCCCCAGAAAAATTAATCTCAGTTATCTGAATTTCCCATTAGAATCTTAAATCTCTCTCCCTTAAACATGACTATTACAATAGTGATCTTTCATTACCTGACCACTCAAGTACGTAACAAACTTCTAGATCCTGTACAACTTTACAGTTCTATAGTCCCTTCATTGTGAAGACTGCAAACAATTTAACAATGGTTTAGCCTTGAAACATCCATTATGAGATGTCTAACTATTGCATCTATAACATAATAGAAAATAGTACTGTTTCTTTCCATTATTCTAGTGTCATGGTAACACCGTCCAGGATGAGGCAGCGATTATGTTAACTTTCAAAATATTATATTATATTATATTACTCTTACTGTTGCAAGTAGGGCTGTAAAGACATTAAAAATTACAATTAATTGTGCGATTACAAAAAGTAATCATGATTAATTGCACTGTTAAACAATTATAGACTGCCATTTATTTAAATATTTTGTAGGTCTTAACATTTTCAAATATACCGATTTCCATTACAACACAGAACATATTGTTTACTAGGTTTATTTTTTATTATAAATATTTGTGTTGTCGAAAAAATAGTATTTTTCAATTCGCCTAACACAAGTACTCTAGTTCAATCTTTTTTTCACAGAAGTTAAACTTAAAACATAGAATTATGTACAAAATAATGTTATTCAAAAATAAAACAATGTATAACTTAATAGACTACAAGTCCACTCGGCCCGACTTCTTGTTGAGTTAATTGCTCAAACAAACAAGTTTGTTTACCTCCAAAGAAAATAATGTTGTCCATTTCTTGTTTACAATGCAACCTGAAAGTGAGAGTAGGAAAGTTATGTGCCACATGCACTAAAGATTCATATTTCCCTTGATGCTTCAACCACCATTCTAGAAGACACGTGTCCACACTGATGACAGGTTTTGCTCAATAATGATCCAAAGCACTGCAAACCGATGCATGTTGATCTTCATTCTCTAAAAAAGATACCTCCTGCAAATGGCTGATTTTCTTTTTTTGGTGGTTTGGGTGCTATAGTTTTCTCATCAGAGTGTTGCTCTTTTAGACTTCTGAAGTCTTTTAGACTTCTGAAAGCAGATTTTGGAAGACAATTCAGATTCTTATACCTTAGGTTGAGTACTATAGCTGTCTTTAGAAATCTCACATTGGTACCTTCTTTCTATTTTGTCAAATCTGCTGTGTAAGTGTTCTTAATATTAACAACATGCACTAGAACATGAAATATACATGTATTGCAGAATGCAGATACAAAAAAAAACAGAAGACATACTATTCTCCCCCCAAGAAATTCAGTAAAAAATTAATACATACATTATTTTTAATGATCTCATAAACATGGAAACATCTGGAATGATGGCCGAAGCATGAAGTGACATACTAATGTTTAGCATATCTGGCACATAAATACTTTGCAATGTTTGGCTACAAAAGTGCATGCAAATGCCTGTTCTCACTTTCAGGTGACACTGTAAATAAGAAGCCTGCAGGCACTATCTCCCATAAATGTAAACAAACACGTTCATCTCAGAGATTGGCTTGACAAGAAATAGGACTGAATGGACTTGTCTTGTTTTACACTGTTTTGGTTTTGAGTGTAGTTATGTAAAAAAAAGTAACATGTGTTAGTTGCACTTTCACAATAAAGAGATTGTATTATGGTACTTGTAAAGTGAACTGAAAAATACTATTTATTTTACCATTTTTACAGTGCTCAACCTGTAAAAATAAAAAATAACCTGCCGTGCTGTGCTGCAGGGGCTACCCCAACCATCCTAGGTCATGTGCCCGCCACCTGTGGCCTCAAAGCGCCATCCAGGACTCACCCCACCCCCACGCAAAAAATGGTTCAGGCATCCGCCCTGCCCCCCGCGTCTACAGTTACTAGGTAGTCTTTAAAAAAAAACAAAAACAGCCAAACTTGATGGGGGGGGGGGAGGAACCGGCCGGGAGGGGAGGGAAGGAGAGGGGAGGGGA